CTCTACACTGTAGCAAACCATTACATTGTAGCCAACCGTTAGCTGTAGTTCGTACTCTACACTGTAGCAAACCATTATATTGTAGCCAACCGTTAGCTGTAGTTCGTACTTTACACTGTAGCAAACCGCTATATTGTAGCCCACCGTTAGCTGTAGTTCGTACTTTACACTGTAGCAAACCATTATATTGTAGCCCACTGTTAGCTGTAGTTCGTACTCTACACTGTAGCAAACCGCTATATTGTAGCCCACCGTTAGCTGTAGTTCGTACTCTACACTGCAGCAAACCGCTATATTGTAGCCCACTGTTAGCTGTAGTTCGTACTCTACACTGAAGCAAGCAGAAAGCTTTTAGATATCACCACAGAAAGTTCTGTTACAAAAGCAATGGATTAGTGAAACGAGTTTTATCATATTAGTAAGGTCTGATTTTTGGCAATGACATATTTCCTAGTGGCTAATGCAGCAACACTACTGAATGGAATACCATTGTCAATAGTATTTACTGCTTTATAAAGCCCTCTTGTGGCAGCAATAAAATAATGTGTCCACACTGTCAGAAGCAAGCGGTACTAATCATACATTACAGTTTCTGTCTTATTGTCCTCAAGACATTAAAATTTTCATCGAATACAATTTTACCGTATTAGAAATTGTACCGTGAGAACGTTTTGGAACTTAATTATTCCTACTCTTAAACGTTAGGTTAAGATCAAGATTTTGTGACAGGTAGAAACCTAGAATCATTTATAATTCACAGACAGAGAGTGGTATGTTTACCAAAGTTTAAAGGACAACAAGAAAGAAAAGGTAAAGTTTCACAGCTTTCACCACCATTCCAACTTGGACGTCCTGAGACTGATTACATTCAATATGAATTTATTGCTGCATGCCACCTAGCTACCTATCTTCTCTCTCTCTCTCTGTTTCCCCCCCTCTCACAGCCCTCTGCACTCTAGTGAGAGTAAACATCCCAGTTTTACCATGGTCAGCCAAGCAAGATGTCACTACTCCCCCACTCAGAAGAATCTTAACTGAACTCTCGCCTGCAGGCCTTTCATGCACCAATACCACAGGTTGCAGGCTTACTAGTTGCATTACCGTCAACATAATGGTAAGACTGGTATTGTTTTAAGTGCCTATATTTATGGTAAGGCTGAATATAATTGGCTTACAGTCAATTACTTAAGTATAAAGTTGGGGGTTATTATTAAATTAAATTGTTGTTGTTGTTTTGTAGCCAACCTATTGGGCTGACTACTGAAGAAATGTTTGATTAACATTTAGAGTCAGACATTTAAGTATTATTTTAGGAATAGCTGGTAGTTGTATATAATACATGCATCTTAAACAGTTAAACTTCGTTGTGAGGTGTCATGTCTCTATAAGTGAGGATGCACAATTGTTTTTCAAAGAAATTTACTTCAAGTACACAGCCAGTGTTTCTGCATTCCCTAAGTACGGTTTACTATAATATTATTTATTGTTACTTTCATTAAAAGTATTGGTTATAGTATTTAATATATCAATTGTCATTACCTTTTACTTTTATCATAAAGATTGTTTTTGCGTTGTTAGCTTAACAGATGTATATTTAGGACTAATCTCAATCTCCTAAGCTGACCAAACCTTGTGAAATATTGTTGGGATTATGGCCAAAAATACCATTAACAGTGAGGGTACCCAACTGATACAACGGTATAACTAGAAATGTAAGAAAAGCATGATTAGCTATACTAACAGCCAGGTTGATTTTTAGTGTCCCTCTGTATATAGCTTACTCCGATTGGAAGTTAACAGTGATTAGACATAGTTATGTTGTACCCTTCATTATAGATAGTATAGGAGCTGTTAGCATGAAAGAAATAGGCTTAACTTTTTGATATTCAGTGGATTAGCCATGTGATTTTCAATCATATCTGAAGTAACTAGGTTTAACTGAGTAAATAGGTATGTAACACTCAAGATATTAGTGTCATGATCAACTCTCAATTAGTACTTTTATAATAACTATGCCTGGTATCGCAATGTTTGAAACAGCTAGGCCTAATGTTTATTTTGACTGTTCTTAACTGTGGGCCAGATGTTCATTATGTTTTTAGTAGCTAAGCCTAGCTGTGTGGGATATGTAGGTTTTAGTTAAAACACATTATCATCAGATTGTAATTAATTGTGGAAGTTGGAGGTACCTACGTTTGTTCTATAAGCAAGGGTTTATCTAATAATTTGTAAAAATAGTAAGTTCATAATATAGAAACTTTTAGAAGTACTTGTTATACTTCTCCATTTTTATCAGTTGACGTGTAATAAACGTATTATTGTAAGCTATATTTCCAATGTTTTAATTTAGATGATAGCTAGAGGGTAGATAATGTTAAATTTGTCCTAGAGTATCTAGAACATTTTGGAATACATGACCAATGTATAGATGCCATAACCAACAATGATATGAAAATTAGGCTGAAGCAAGTAGGTGTGCGTCTTTGAATGAGCTTGTTCGGTTAGCAATTGAATTTTAATCCATTAATATTGGAAACAAACAACTAAAGAATCCTTCTAGAAGTTATCAAATCTTGTAGTATTCAAACATCAACTCCCCTAACAATAGTCTAGAAGTGAAAGTATTAATCAGACAGCTAGTTACACAGAATGGAGGAAATAAACAAGGAAAAAATGCAATCAACTGTAGATTTAAAACATGTATGGAATTTTAACCCCTCCCGGAGCAAACTGGAAAGAAATAACTGTTATAATTTTGGAAAATATGACCATTGCACCCAAGACTGTGAGTAAATGACAATGGCTAATTTCAAGCCACAAAGACAATACCCTAAGGATCAGTCTTCTAGCCCAACAAAGGGTTAACCAGACATCAAAAAGACAGGAACTAGCTGGATTTATGGAGTGAAGTATAGCTCCATTATTCAAAGAAACAAGTCCATGGGTTTATTGATGGGAAGCCTTACAGTATGTTTATTGACAGTGGTTCTATAGCTACAATTTAACATAATTTGGCAATGAAAGGTGGGGAAAAGGTCTCCAGAAATGGATTGATGCTAGTAGCAATTGAACATGACATGGTTCCAGCAAGAGGAAAGTTATAAGTTACCCTTACTGTAAAAAGCTACTCTGTACCTCTTGATGGGTGGGCAGTTGACATCAAGAAAGAGTACATGGTGGGAACTGGCTTCATGCAAAACATGTGGATGCGAGGTTAAGTTAGTTTCACAATCTCTGATCAAGAAAGCCCTACGTCCTACGTGGAAATCCAGAGGTTGAACTTCCAGTACAAACTGGGAGAGTGGTCGTTGTACCACTCAAAATGAAATACTTGTATCAGGAGTTATTAGCAATGATTATTCGTCTAATCACTAGGACAACATAGTTCACAAAAACTCTGGCATGTCCTAAACAATGATGGTTGGAAGATCCCTCATGGCTATAATAGTAAAGATGCTATATATATGACTTGACCTAAAAAAGAGTCTTAAATCAGCTTGTGATAAAACAAAAAGTCACTATAATGTTAATTCTGATAAGATTGGATTTCATCAAAGTGACATGGTGTGTCTGAACAATTCCAATCACAAGGAAGGATGAACTCCAAAGTTAGGTAGGTGTTGGGAAGGACCATAAGTTTTTACTGAAAAGAATCTCTTACGTGGTTTGCAGTGTCGAGAAAAGGAGGCGATCTAAACTAAAAGGCATCCGCTAGACAACAGTCTTGGGAAGTAGATTGATAAGAGAACAGACAAATGAGTAACACCAAAGAAGCTTTTGTTTTCAAACTGCCGAGTAGCCCAAAGTTCCCATCTAGCCACTTCTAGAAGACCAACAAGGACAAAGCCACTAGTGAATTCATTCTGCTACCTCCAATAGGACAATCAGTGATGATAAGGGCCAAGCCATCAATCCATCTGTATACCATGAGCCTTGGAAGAGAAAAAAATACACCAAAGAAACTTGGTGAATGATCAATTTGGTGTAGTGTTTAATTATGATTGTTCAAGGAACTTAACAATCCAGGAAGGGGGCAGTATTGTAAGTTATATTTTCAATGCTATTTAAATTAAGTTAGTCCTAGAGAACTTATAATGTTGAGGAACATAGCAATTAAGCAACTTTTTGAAGCGTTATAAATAACAGAATCAGCAAGCAGTAACTCATCAGTTGAGCTCAGTGTTAGTTATTGTGTATATTCAGTTATTCAATCAATTAGCTGTGAAATTATACAAGTAAATTTATCTTTGTGACATTAGTCATAGTACCATTAATGAAATATTTTCATTTGAACATTTGTAAAGTTACTTAGGCCTGTAACTTACAAGTAAAGGTAAAATTAAGGAAGAAACAAGCTAAATAGTTTATTATTTGGACTAGATTTTCATCAAGTAACCTAACAAAAGAATGACAGTACAACTATATTGGATTTATAATTATATTTGTCGCATACATCTCTATCATGTACTTTAGAATTGTACTGTGATAAGTTATATCAATGAACGACACAAAGATCAAGATTTAGTTAGCCAACTTCAAAGGTTAGTTAAAGAAAAATTCTATAATACTGTTATTAAATCTTTTTTTGACAGATTGTTTTGTCAACTCATTTTTAAATGTTATTTTACCAAAATAGTTCATTGGTTTTTGGCTACAATCGTATTAAAATTAATCTATGTAAAATATTAGAATTGGTTAAGAAACGTATTATTTCATCTATAAAGCATTTATTAGGTTACGGGAATGATATTATAATAATTGTGTGACGCGACACCTGGTGGGAAGTCAACATTTTTCCTTTTATGTCAAAGAGCAGATACAGTAACAGTATGTAAAGTTCAATATTACTGTATCTGTTAACTGTAGTTAGTTGTTCAACTTTCATGTATAGTACGAGATAAAACCATGTAAATATGTAACTAATATCCTCTAATATTTGTTACTGTACGTACCAAGTGATTTTTAAATCTTGGCAAGGTAATCCCAGAAATGTATTTTTTTTTTTTAGTAAATGTGTTTATCCGATACCTTTTTGAATATTTTCATATGCACAAGGTTATGGCTGAAAGTATTATTAACAATGAGAGTACGTTACCAAACCGATGCACTCTTAATTGCTTTTGCTTTACAACGTTGCATAATCTTTATGAATATGGTATATTAAGTTAGCTACACTAATAACTAGATTAAAATTTATTTTTGATTCATTCAGGTACTGTACTTTGACAGCTGTTTTGTAGATTAAGGCCATATTATAATGCTTACTAGTTTCGTGTTGTGTAACAAGATAATGCATTTTAGTGTAAATTTACCTCTAAACTAGAAGTGAATTATTAAATAGGTTCGAGAAACAAGTGATCGTAGCACGCCGCCCCAACATGGTCGAACATCGGGAACTGCTGACACAAGTAGCGATATCAGTGGCCCCAGTTTCAGTGAAGACAGCTTGGGAGCCAGGTCTGGCCGTCGTTGGCTTACGCCTACACCATATCGCACGACTCCATCGGGTATATAAACTTATTATAAAATATTGTTAAACAAAAAAATACTAGAAGTATTATTCATAATTACTAGGTTTGTTTCCATAACATAGAAAAGCAGATAAGCTCCACAGTACTTAATCTGTGTACACAAATCTCTCTCTAAAATAACTGAAGAACTTTCAGAAGTAGAAATAGTAAGTATTTCAGTCATGAAACCGTCAGGTGTTTTCATTCATAAACGTTTGTCTGCAGGCACCAAACCATCAAGCCGCCCAACAAGCCGTACTGGAAGTCATCCCTCCAGTAGACCACCAAGCCGAGCAGGCAGTGACCTTTCTACCGACAGTGTAGATGCTTATCGTAGTGCACGCAGGACCCCAGTTAGTAGCACCAAAATCCCATCAAGTGCTGGTCGACAGCGAACACCAAGTGGTTCTTCTCAAACGTCAGGTACTAAGAGTCAGAGCTCGGTACCAGGAACCAGAATCCCCTCAGTACGAAAACCATCCTCTTCGTCATCAGCGAGTCGTTCTGAAGGGGTGAAAGGCAGAGAAAGATGGAAATAATGACCACAAAATGTTCCATCTTTATTTGAGGCCTAAAATTTAACTGGGAACAGCGAGTTTTTTGTTATAATTCCCATGCTTTGAAAAACTGCTACTGAAATTAAGGAAATCCACAGGTAGTTGATGAAAGAAATATCCATTGCTCTTTACCACTAGCTTAATTCCTTGTGAGGATTTTATCTCGTTTCACGAAATATGCTGAGTAGTACTTGTTCAAATGAGGATGCATTATTACAGATTTTTGTCTTTGGCTACTTTCTCATTGCTTGAGCCTGGATATTTAAGAATTAGGCTAATGATTTCACGATCTACTCCAGAGTTGTAAAAAATATACATCAAATTTTGTTCGAGCTTATTATGAAGGAAAGGTATGAATGATGGTGGATGTAACATGAATGGGATAAATTTAGGGAAAAATTTAAAGGATGCTCTCCTAACATTCCGTTCAGAAACCTAGGGCTTGGGGATGGAGGACGTGTGGATTTTTCCCTGAACTTAGTGTGTGTGTGTTTGTTTGTTTGTCTACTGGCCCCGTTGACTTCCATCATGGAATCTCAAAGTGTTAAAGTCCATAGAATGCTCAAGGTTCACATTAAATGATTGAATCTTGTTTATATTAATAACAGAAAGAGAAACATATATATATTCTGGAAGATGTAATTACTTTTTGAAATGGTGAAAATGGGGTGATAGTTTTACTAAATAATAATACTTTACAGCTGCACTGGGGCCTATCTTTTAATAAGGTAAATATTAAGTTTTATTTAAAGTGCCAATCTACTGCTTCTTTATTTTATGTTAAAATTGTCAAAACATATTAATTTTGTTGCTTTTGTTTATTAGACTTGTATTTAGGGCAGCATTTTGTTTGTTTGAAAAGAACCTACACTCACTTCCGAAAATTATGCAAATGTTATTGTTAAATAAAGTAAACCATGCCTGTAGATTAGTGTAGTATCGGATTACTGGGATGTATACATTCCACTAGATGCAGAGTTGTTTTGATCAACTTTCTATGATCACTTGTTTGCACAGCCGTGGTTTCTGGGACTTAAAACATAGATAATCACCTTTCAAATGATGTTATAAATCAATGTATTTGTTGCTTTTATGTAATTCAATAAAGATATAACACATATTAGTCTCTGCGTGAGTACAGATTATGCAGTAAAGAAAGACAAATTGTAATATCTCAGTTTTGTGCCACTATAGGTGTTCACACACTTTACTTCTATAAGTTGTCAGCTTAGCACCACAAGTAAGATCTTACAGACTAATGTGTTAGTGTACGTGTTACGTTAACGTCATCAGACCCGTAGTTTAGGCTTGGAAAATTTAATTAGACATCAAAAATGTTTACTTTTTGTCAACCAGAATGTTCTTGGTTTTGAGTTAATAATTATAATGATTAGGGAGTTAAATTTACAAAAACCCGAGGCTTAAGATCACATCAGAGTAGATTAATGTAATCAATCCAGGAGATTATCTTTGTTTAAAATACCTTATTCCCCCCCTTCTCCTATTACATTATTAATCCCAACTGATATTTTTGTAAGCCAAGAATTTTTACACTTGGGTGGCTAGCCTAATCGGTTACCACATGGGACGACCATGTTTGCCGATGGGGATTCAAACTTGCAAGCCTTAGATTGAGAGTCAAGTGCCCTAATGACTAGGCCAGGCCAGGCCCTACTTCCACAGTTAACCTTTGGTTTTAATTTATACCACCTCAGAATATGAAAGTCTTAAGAATATATGGATCTATTGTACAGACATAACAAGACATCTCTGTAGATGAGTGTTACAGAGGTAAACCTTCCTTGCCGATGTGAAATAGGGTTTCATTTAAATATATTAAAACCACATACACTTTGGTATGCATTCGGGTAAATCGAACAATGTTACACATAAATTATTTTAGGTTCCAAATTACATAAAAACCATCCAAAGACAGTACCGATTGGCACAAAAATGCTACAACAATGGAACTGTTAATTACTACTGCTAAAGGCTTGAAATATATTAAAGAGCATTTAATGAAATACTGCAATGCTTTCAGAGAAAACAACTGCTATTAATACTACACGCAGGAGTGGGATCCACGTGTGCATGCCACAACATTCTTGAAAGTACCTTCAATATGGTACGATACATTTGACGTCAAAGTTATCGACTACTTATTTTACCCTACTTTACAGATTTAGCAACAGTTTCTAGATACAATATACAGGGATTATTAAAAAATCTTTAGATATGCATCTTAGATGTTCAAAAACTTATGCAAATAAAATATGCCAACTGTTCGATGGACAAAAGTATTCTTCACATGGACATCACATTGCACTCCAACTTCTCAGAGTCTGAGTCAGACTAACGTCAGTCTTGTCAGAGATAGATCTTGGGTACAAGTCTTTTGAACACATCTGATATTTTGGATTGAAC